TTCGTTCAAATTTATATATATATATATATATATATGTGTGTGTGTCCATCCGCACGATAACTTGAGTAATTTTTGTCCGATTTTGATAAAATTTGGCTTGAAGGTGTAGGCTAAGGCGGGATAAACTTGAATGAGTTCGCGAACCAGCATTATCGGACTATGGGAACGGGGGTTTATGGGGGGTTTTTATGGGGTAAAAATAGGTTTTTCCCATTTTTGACCCTAAAAACACAAAATTTTACAATTTCTTTCCAAACCATTTTGTAGAGCTTAAAAAAACAAATAATTTTGTATATGGAAGCAATATTATGCGCCTAATTGTTACGGAGAAAATTCAAAAACATTGTAATTTTAAAATTCCCATGTTATTCTTATGGAGAATAAGTCAACTGTTGTAGTTTGCTTGTTTATGAACATATTTTGATCAAATTTGGAAAATACATTAATTTCTTACTAAATTAATTTCTTTACCACAGCACCTTTTAACATTTTATATAAAAAAACTTTTACCCTCCCTGTTGCAGCAAACCTAAGTACTCATTAAACTAATTCTGTTTAAATAGGGAATAAATGTGATATTTTAAGGAGACATTTTAGTTTAAATCCAATCGGGCAAATGGAAATTCGCTAAGTCTGCAGGTTTGCTGCGGCGGGGGTATTTGTATACTAGTGCAATATGGATCGAAACAGTTAGGAATGCCCGCATTAGAAAAAACTACTGTTTAGAACATAACTAAACATTACTTTTAAACCCCCGTTGTGCTTCAAGTTCACTATATCAATAACCAAATACAATCCATGTTCCCGAGTGTAAAGATAGTTTTAAAAAACTTGTATGCAGTACGTAAGTACCGTATTTATTCATACAATTTTAATTCAAACACGTAAATTTATTCTCTTCTAATATTTTTCGGACACAAATGCACATTCTTCCTGACAAAATAAAACTCTAATTGAATAGCCTATATTTCTTATCGAAATTATATAATCAAAAAATTGAACTTCTAACTGTATTTTCGGACACAGGGATAACTGAACACAAACAAAAAAAAACAACATAAAAATAGGGTAGATATTGTTTATGAACAAGGAAAATACCAGTTAAACACTTCAGTAGGGCCTACTGAGACTGATCTCATTTAGCATAATACTGAATATAAAAAAAATTCAATTCAATTAACAGAGAAAGAGTTAGTTTGCACAAAAATACAGTAAAAAGCAGTTGCTAGCAACAGTATATATTTTAGTAAAACAATAATTAGGATAAAAAATTAAAATGAATAATTATAATTATGTGATATCACCGACTCGTTTTATATAAAAACTACCGATCATCACATTACCTTTTTATCAATCTATATTCTATAAAAGTCCAAAGTAAACAGCAACAAATATTCTTCAACAAAGTCATAGTGTTATTAATTTTATCTTAATAATATATTTCTTTTACTTTCATTGAAAATAGAAAATTATATTACTGTACTATTTTTACATAGAAAGCATGTGTACATTTACAGTAATACATTTTTGGACTTTTTGGAAAGTCAAAACGTACCTGAACTGTCAAACGGAAACGCGCGATCTTCCGACTCTACACAACACTACGCGACACAACAAACTGAAAACTGAACACAAACACAAGTCCTGACTCCTGAACACTGCGACTGCAGCGAGCGGTACACATGTAGTTCCGAGAAGCGCCACCCCAGCAGCACTGTACAGTGAGCTGCAGAAGATAAGACGACATGTAGTTCGAAGATCCGCCGCACTGGCAACACTGTACTATTGAATATGAATTCCCACACTTCAAAATCAAATCAAATAGGTCAATAGGTCTGTATCAAAATATTGGGTATTCTTACCTTCATAACGAGATTTTAACTCATTTCCCTATAGGGAATTAGCTTTAGCTATTACCTTAGGCATTCAATTCAATTCATCTTTATTTATTACAATATTTAGGAACCTACTCCTTTATACCTTTAATACCTCCTTCTTTGTCTTTTACCCACAATGTGGGATTGACAGTGTCACTTTACACGATTACTAATACAAAAAACAATATTTACAACTATTTACATACTTCCGGCAGGCTACAGGCTTCTTAAATCATCCCCTAAATACTCTGAAATATCGTAATAGGCCCGGCTCTTGATGAAAGTGGTTAACACTGCCTCAAATGTTCTCAAAAGTCCATCAACTGGATATGTCGTGGCAGCTTATTGAACAGACTTATGGCTGACACACTATAACTAGCCTGGGTCCTAGATAGTCGCACCCTGGGTACATCAAGCTGATGGGGCTGCCTGGTGTTATTCTGGTGGACGTCAACACGAGTGGTGAAGGTTGTTATATTAGCCATAACGTGCACCAGACAGAGAAGTATAGTGGCCAACTACAGTAAGCACACCAAGTCGTGCAAAGAGGGGTTCTTAGGCGCTTCTGGAGCCTAAGAACTTCAACAATCTTTGGCGAGTGTCCCCAGAGAAGAAGACCATAGCTGACATGGCAGTGAAAGAGGGCATGGTACACCATCACCAAATATGCCTCCGTTACACAAAATTTAAGCTTGAAGAGGAGGAAACAGATCCGTGAGAGTCTGTTCCAGTTGGTGGTCTGGTCTATGTGATGTGTCCAGCTGAACTTCCCATCAAGAACAAATCCAAGCAATTTGACTGGATCTTGAACACCAGGATGATCTCTGGAGAGGCTGCAGATGATGTGCTGCGTCTTATCCTCGCCTAGTTGGAAGCGGTTTGCCAGAAACCAGGCAGTTGTATCTTCAAGACGCCGTCTGGAGATGGCCAAAGCTTGATCGATGTACGTACCAGCTGATAGAAGAGAAGTGTCGTCTGCAAACATGAGGGTAGTGCCAAGGTTGTCGAGATCGTTGATCATGATGAGAAAAAGGGTAGGCCCAAGCACTGAACCCTGGGGAACACCAAAATCAACTGCCAAAGTGCCGGAGACAGCTCCACCAACTGCAACGACCTGCGAGCGCCGTTCGAGGTGAGTACTCAGGATGGCAAGAGCAGCATCCTTGATCCCATAGAAGTGGAGTTTCCTTTTCAAGATGGAGTGGGAGACACAATCAAATGCTCTACTGATATCACAGAGAGTCAGAGAGAGAGCTTGGTGGATTTCAAATGCATTTTCCACGCTTGCAGCAACTTTTGCAACAGCATCAACGGTTGACCTGCCCTTACGGAAGCCAAACTGCATATTCGAGAAGTCCCTCAAAAAATGCTTCAAGCTGGGGTTTTATGGTGGCTTCTACCACCTTTCCGAAGACAGGAGTTATGGAGATGGGCCGATAGCTATTAAGCCTCTGGTGGTCACCCTTCTTATAAATAGGGACAGTTTTCGAGGTCTTCAGAAAGTCCGGGAAGACGCCACAGCTTCCCGGCGTATAGAATAGGCCTACAGTATTTCTAAATCCAAGAGTACTTCCCCTTTATCTGTGATGTTACTCCTTTTAACAATTTTTATTTTACATTTTTTAAAAGTGGGGTGATATGAACTCTTTCAGGTGCTCCTTTTTTTACGTATACCACAAACTCTGTGCTGCTAACTGGACAGCCATCATCTGCTTCAAATATAGGAGCGTCATTGAAAGTTGGTCGATTGTGTAACGTCTTTTAATGTGTTGTCTGTCAGTAAGTGTCCAGCAATATATGCCCAGCATCAGCACATTCTCACGTTGTTCAGCGGAATTTCTCTTAATACCCGACCTAAAGTTTTGAAAGAATGGATTTATTTGTTGAAATAGGTTAGATAGGTCTTGAATTAGATTCGGATAACAATTTTCATTTTCTCTTATTGAACAGCGTACATTATTTGCCTCTCCTGAATCATAAAAATAAACTTGACCGTAGGGACTGTATTTCCGAAGGTCCAATTCTGTGATGAACTTGACCATGGAATATATACACACATGGTTCTTCTATTGTGGTTGGTCTAATATTGCAACAAACACTTCCCATAGCAAATGAGTTGTAGAAGCTTCTTATTTTTTACATGAAATGTCTTGATTGTTAGTGACTTCCAGTCAATAAACAACTTTGTATAAGTTTGTGAAACTGGCAACATAACCTTGCCATTATAAAAGCAAGGAGTAAACAAAACATTTACCTTTTTTCTCAATTGAAGTTAAGCGAGTAACAAAACGACATACATTGTTCAATAACTGGGCCTAGTGCTATAATTATCTCTGATTTATATTAGTTTGGCCTATTAAATTATTATACCAATATGTATTATTAGCTGATCTTAATATTACCAAATCCCGCACTAAGCCGCCTCTTTTTCAATTTTCAATTTTAATGCCCCCAGTACACTCTCCCAGAGGCGCCTCGCCGAGTAATTCGGGCGAGTGCTTATGCGAGGTGACCATGTACACTCTCGCTTTGTCTTGCAGTCGAAATGGAAGCGCTTTATGTGCTCGGCTCTTTTGCAGTCTCGGGTCCTTGGCTAAATCAGTTTAATCCACACTATTATAAAAATGAGGAGGTGTCTGTCTGTCTGGACGACTGTCACGACTAAAATCACCCCTTTGTATCACCTTTGTACTGTACCGGCTCACCCCTTGCTTTGCTGGATACGTTCCACGCACAGATCTGTAGTCTATGTGGACGGGCAAATGCAAGGTTAAAAGAGGCCGCCAACCTCTTTAAAAAAAAAAAAAAAAAAAAAAAAAAAAAAAAAAAAACCAATACAGCCAAAATCAACCACAAAGATATATCTGGAACGTCATAGGCTTATTAATGAGTTTTACCAATGCATACAAACCCTTTAAGAAGCGCTCTATGTGATCGTTGGCATGATCATACCAAATGGGTTACTGAATTGATAGTATGTATTATAAAACAAAACTTAAGTATGATTATTATTTTTAATATCATACAATAACTCTAAACTGAAACACTATTTTGTGTTTCATGAACCATAAAATAATAGCAGTACAGTTAGTAATAAGATGGATTAAAAACAAAACGCTAAGCTTATTTAAACTCTTAATTTACTTATTTTACAAACACCAAACAAACAATCAGTCTGAAGACAAGTTTTGACAATGCAAGACAGTTATATACAGCAGCCTTGTGAGGTTAACTGCGGTTGTAGCGGTTGCCCCAGCCTCTCTGGTGAGTGTCCTTGTACTCATCCATGGCTCTGGCCCGAGCGAGAGCCTCCTCATCATCAGTCTGCAAAACAGCATTAAAATTAGGTCACTTCAGTCTCATTGTTACTTAAAACAGTGATTTGACAATTCCTGAGAAGTTACTCAGGGTGTCCTTACACCTGCCAGTAAATTTATGAAACTTTCAGTGAATTTCTTGCAATCACAGCAAAATAAATGATCTTATTCAATCAAGGCAACATTTATGATGATTTACCACGATCATAATAACATTTCCCAATTCTTCGAGATCGTAGCAACAAAAACATCCATAATGATTTCTTGCAATCGTGACAACATTGTGATTTTCATGGTCATTTTCTGTGATCAAGGTAACATCCGTGATTATTTACGGCAAAATCCGTTACTTGTGAATTCCAGTGATTGCAGCAGCACTGTGATTATTTCCTGCAACCACGACCAAATCCGTCATGATTTCCCGCGATCGTGGCAACAACGATGTTGGACAGATGTGATGCCCTGCAGCGATCATGTCAATACCTCTGGTTATTTCCCACGGTTGCGGCAATAACTGTTCTAATATAATTTGCCGCAATCTCACCAAAACCCGTGATGATTTCTTACCATGTCTCGGACATCCATCACCATACTTGCGGTCGTGGCAAAATGCGTGGGAATTTCTCGTAATCGCGCCAAAATCCGGTATGATTCCCATTCCCGGAGATCATGGTAACATCCGTGATTTCCCGTTATAGCAGCAAAGCCTGTGATGATCGTGGCACAACGTCATTAATCACGGAAATTTCTTGTTCTTTAAAAAATTTACACACAATTCACGGATTTTTCCCGGTCATCAGAATTCACCCATAATTCCCGGTTCCCAGGTCGGCTGGACATCCTGTATGTGGTTTTGCATATATATGCATTTCACAAAATGTATTAAAAACATATTTCATAACGTTCTGTGCAATATGCGAGTTTGCCGAGTTGACTATAATGGACAATAATGCGTTTTCTGCTTTTGGGGGAAATGCATTTTGTAATTTAACTCGCCAGGATTTGGACAGCATATGGTGAATTACTTTAAACAAACATCCAATAGAATGATAAGTAAAATTTACCTCAATTTTCCGCTCTTTCTCAGCTTCTTCTTGGTCAGCAATAGCTTCCGCATTTGCTTGGCTGGCCATCTCTAGCAAAGATCTTGATTTCACTGTTTCAGCATCGGGGAATCTAAAATACAAATAAAAAGCTTGTCATGTTATCTAGATTGAGTGTGGCCTTTTATGTGTCAACTAATGTACTGGAAGAGATGTTAAAAGAATTAAATTCAATTGAAACCAAACTGTTGTCTTAGTTGTGCATTGGAGCCGCAGTTAATTGTGCTGAAGTAATCTAAGCTGTTCTGATTACAACAAAGTCCCATCCATCCAAACGTATTTGGAACAGAACCTATCTGGAGCAAACTGTTTGTAAAAAAATAAAATTTCTTTGACCGTAGGCCTTAGCAGCCATATATTTCTTTCACAGTCATCTCAGCACCATGATTGTCTCCCACTATCACATCACTGTACCGTCAAACGGGGCTACTTTGTACATGGGGGCTACTTTGTACAAACTTTCAAAAAACTACTTAAAAAGTCATAATTCCCGTAATTTTTATTATTTTTTTAAGTGTAGCATATTAAAATAAAGGTAAACTTATATTCTTTTTGAAAAAAAATATCCCAACATATTATTGTTTAGGATTTAAAAATTAAAAACTTAAGGTACTTTTTTTCGGGGGAAAAAAATTGTACCCAAACTTTCGCATGCACAAATGACTAAGTGCATAAATGATCATAAGATGTAACTTTTATATGTTGTTACCCCACTTTCTGGGACTCTAAATATACCAAATATGTTACAAAAAAAAATTATCATTAATTAAAAAAAAAAAATTTTTTGAAAAAGGTACACAAATTTGTAAAACCCGGGGTAACTTTGTACACTGCTTATTTTAATTTTTTCATGCCCCATCCTGCTTGCTTTTACCACCTAATCAATTATAACCCCCTCAATACATGTTTAACTTGTGAGAGGTTGCTGCTTGATGTGTTCCTTGCTCTTGTCACCATTACCAAATGCTTGTGACGTACGGTTCCTTCGAAAAGTGCCGGGAACTGTTAATGTTTTCCACTGGCCGGAACTACGCGATGAAGACCTGAACATGCCATTTGCTGATATTGTGGCAGTGCTGAATGAGCCCAAACTTAATAGAAGAGGTCTGTTAAGTTTTCCACACAAGTTTGAAGGACTAGAAATAGAATAAGTAACAGACTACTTACAGCTACAGCAGATTTTTATCTGAAAGGGCATGGCGACCCTTGCTTCTGGAGCCAATTTTCCCGGACAAGACAAAAAAAACACAGGTAATTTAGAGCTAATTATTATTTTTTTAGTTAAGTATAACTCTTTGGTAACTCACTGCATGCATCATTACAGCTCTATATACTTTCCTTCATTTATATATATATACTTTACAAAACCCTTATGGTGTACAAAGTTCCCCGCGCAACGGTTTTTCCAATTTGCTGTAACTTCTAAAGTAATAGAGATAGAAAAATGCAATTTCCACCAAACTGTTCCAAATAGCCCCAGCTTTCAAATGCATGTTATAAAGTAACCCCTAAGACTAACCATCTTGGGGTTATTGGTATCCCAAGTGACTGTAATAAAGTAGCCCCGAACCCGGGGCTACTTTTTACAGGTACATTTTATTTTTATTTTTTTATTGTACATAAGCAATTAATTTTTTTTGGCTACATAGCTCAATAGCTCATGCAAATCCGGACAATTTGATATAAAATATATATATATAGCCTATACCTTTATAAATAAAAAAGTTATTACAGTTATTCAAAAAAATTGTTATAAAGTAGCCCCGGTTGACGGTAATTAATTCCCACGATCACAGCAGCACTATGATCCGTTAAACATATCCAGCGGAATATATTTAATCAACAGAAGCTAGGACGTAGACTATTGAGAATTATTCTATAAATTATTTTGTGCTATGCCTCATATAGGCCTACAAGCAATTCATAGGCTTTTCTCCGTTAATAAAAATTCATGTTGATTTACCTATCCAATTTTTTAAAGTCAAGCAAATAATTATAATTATGGTTTTCTTATACAAAAAAAAACAATTTAAACTGAGCAAAGCCCACAAACTGCTGAATGAAAATTCATACTGTTTGAGTAGGCCTATGCATAGAGTAGAGTACTTACATTCCATCTTTTACTCGTTGATCATAAAACTCTTTAACCGTCATTGCAGGAAGACTAGGATATCCAGCTCCAAACACCTTCTTTTGAACCTCATCCTTAGTTATTATAATCGGTTTCAACGGTTTAGGTTTAGGGCCTCTAGATAATTTTTCTTCACTCTCGTTCGCCTTCAAGCTACCCCCAGCTTTAACTTTAGACATGTATTTTAGAATTTCCTTTTCCGATTGAAGGGACTCTAGCTCCCTAATACCTTCATTAATATGACACTTTATTAAGGTAATGAAATAGTTTCTTTTCAGCTCATCGTCGACATGAGATGTAAGATCTATCTGTTTCTTCATAGTTTTCAAATCCCCTTGAAGAGCCTTTTGCTCGTTGTAAAGCTGTATCTTGTTTGCTCTGAAGTGAGCAGAATTCATGAGAGCCTGAGCAGGAGTTTGAGGTACAGCCACTTGATTTGATGTGCTTTGTTCTTGTTCTGCATCAGATGGCGGTGGAATCTCTATATCAGTAATGGCGTAGTCCTTGCAACGTTGTAAAAAATCTCTGAAGTAAATATCCGCTGTGTCGACTACTTCTGTTCTCTCTGTTACACACAGTTTTTGAGTCAGGTTCCCTAGCAGAGATGGCAACAAAAAATATTTCAAATTATTTGTTGCTACTTCTTCAATGGATTCATTTGAGCTAAACAAGGAAGTCATGGATGCCAGACGTGTCGCATCTTCGAATAATTTCATAGCTCTGCGTATTTTAACCTGGAACATTTAATAATCAAAATCAACACAGACAAAGCGTAAAATTTATAAAACTAAATGGGAGTCTACTGTAAAGATAAAAAAACAAAACAAATACCAAACTAAAAATTATAGGCTAGCCTAAATATTATTTAAACTTTGTTAAAATATACCAGGATACAATTGTTTGACAGATTTTATAAAGAAAAGAATATCATGAAACTTACTCAAAGTGTTAACTTATTAGTTCATGAAATATTCCATACAAATACAACCAGTTTGACGATTGTTATAAAAGATACACGTAACACAGGCAGCGGGAATCGGGATGTAAACAAAGCTACACCCAGCTCAGTACTCCCAGCGATAATAGCCCCAACCACATTAGCGAATTTTGAGTAGTGGAGGGAGAGCTCACTTGCCATCACCACTCCGTTGCCGCCAGTACAGTGCTAGCGCATCTCACCGGCCATGCTAAACCAAACCTGACGAGTTGTGTTACAGATGTTTTATATTTATGCTTTATTATGAGCACAGCTTGTCTCTTAATGTCCATACAGTCCAACCTCAGTATAACGAATCTGAAGGGACCGAACTGAATATTCGTTATATCAAGGATTTCGTTAAAACGGGGTTCGTTATATAGAGGTTAGGTTTGCAGGAATTTCGCTAAGTCGAGGTTCAGAACCAGCGTCGGTCAATATAGGTCGGGATTTGACCACATTAAAATACAATTAAAGTAGCATAGGCTACAATACTTTACAGTACAGTGTTTACATTGTACAGTAGAACCTAAATTATTCGGCATAATAAAGGGGAGAGATCTTGAATATTGCGCAATCATGACAATGGCATTGACCTTGGTATAAATGGTATACATTACGTCATCAGTCCTCAGAGAATGAACTCAGTTCTCAGTTGCAACATAGCGCGCGCAGTGACAGCAGACAAAGATGTAAAACGGAGCAGACGAATGTTAGCGCAAGCGATGACGTGACCTTTCCATTTAATTTGATAAAGAAACAGATTTTCCCAAAACAATAATTGGGTGGGGGATATGTTATATCGAGGGAAAGACGTACCGTAGACAATTCGTTATGCAGAGGTTAAATTCGCAATGTAGAGGTTCTGACAATGACAAATTCGTTATATTGAGGTGTCTTATTTTAGCCGAAATCACGAAAAATGCGTTAAATCAAGGTCGTTGTTATGGTTTGTTCGTTATGTAGAGGTAAAATATACATTGTGTCTTATGGAGAGTTCTAGGGGATTAAAAAAAAATTCGTTATATCAAGGAATTCGTTATATCAAGGTTAGACTGTATTAATATTATTCAAAAAAGTTGTATTTTTAAATTCCCCCCCCCCCCAAATCTAAAAAAAAACCTCATTAAATCTCAAATTCCCTCCCAAAATTAAATTGTATAGCGTGGTTCGCGATTTGTGGGCACCCCTGCCTGGTCGTTTAACCCTCCGAGTGTCCATAGTTTAGGCCTTAATGTCCGCCTATTTTTGGCACATTTGCAAGGTTTTATTAAAACGGATCTGAGAAGCTTAAAACAATGTTAATTCTACTGTTCTATATACCATTTTGTTTAAAAAATCATGGGCTTCAATATTATATATAAAACATAAGAAACATTTGTTAAAAAAAAGTTTTTAGGTAAAAAAAAAATATTTTGGAAAATTTTCACAAAAAAAATAGGCCTAAGTTTGCGCTCAATGAAATTGTATGAATTATAGGTCTATAAATATTTGAAAATAGCCACATTATTCTAAATTTTATGAGGATTACAAATATATAATCATATAGTAAGGTAAGTTATCAAATAAATAAGTTATGAGTGAAAAACAGATTTCAGTACATAGCGTTTAGCTAAGAATGCATAGCCTAACCATAGCTAGGAATCTGGCAGATAATTTACATCAATATCACTACGGTACCTACTTCTTCAAAATCACTTAAATATTCTTATAACGCACCAAGTATATCACTACTTTTGATTTTTAACACTAAAACAATGATAATCGTAATAAAACACATCAGTCATCGGTCCGAGGTTAACCAAGCTGTTTACAAATACGCTCGTCAGCTGTCTGCTACAATATTTTCGGAACTAAAATGAAAAGCGCTTAGAGACAGGCCCCGGGAGAAAGCTTAGAATCTAACAAAAAGAACGATACCTAACTCGATCCAGTTCAATCCGATTCAGTCAGTCATAGAGCCTTCGCCGTAAACGATGTTCGTGTGTCGAAAAATCGACAAGTGACACTACAAAAAGTGTGCCGTGAGTCGATTTTTCGACAAGTGACGCTCGGAGGGTTAACCAACTGTTATTCCAACAAATAAAACACAATATGGCTGTATCAGGAAGTGTAAATAGGCTAGGGTCTAGGTCCTGAATGTAGGTGTATACCAAAAACACTAACTTAAGTTGGTTCCAACTCCTGATAAGCAATAAAGTAGGCCTACCTAGGCCTAACTTAGGCCCACCCCAATTGGAAGAAACGCCAATAACCCCTTTGAATCTTGCCTGTCTGAATAGGCTAAAAATAAATGTTTTGTCAATAAAAGTAAAATGTACCCAGAGCCTAGACCTAGCCTATGTTAGTTTTCTTAATCACCAAACTTTTAATCGAGCTACAACAAAATAAAGTCGTTACCGGTACAGGAATGAATTTAGGCCTATCTCTATTCTACCTGAATTTCGCCACTATTAGTTGCCTGATCAGTATTCGATATTTCTTCATAAATATTCATTCCTTCTTCAAATATTTCAGATAACTTTTTATCGTGCTCTGTATCATTTTCTTCCATGTTTTACGACTCCTCTTCCTGCTTTATACTAGATTTGAAATAAAAGAACAAAGAACTACAATGAATTGTTTGAATAAAGTGTAAACATTAAAAATTAAAATATCATCAAAAATGAGTAGGGTAAGTTAAACAAACACTCCTTCCTAAATCCCAAAGTCCTTAATCCTTAGCCCTTCCTCCTTCTCACAGGTTTAGGTTATAAAATTGTGTTGTTTGTTATTATTTATTTTATTATGAATAAATATTTTTTTTGTTATTGGAAATTCGATGAGTGAAGAAGAGGGTCTTGGGAAGAGTAGAATATAAAACACTTCGAGCATTGAGCAAGGATACCAGAAAATGTATCTAGTTTAGATCATGACAGGAACACATCTCACATACTTGATACTTGGACTTGTCTTCTTCTTTATCTTTGACTGTGGTTGGATTGATAGCGTCAAATTTTTAATACCATATGATAAAAACATATATTTACAACATAAATACTAAAACTGTGGCGGAAATTTCAACCCGGCATGAGAGGTTCCTCTACCAACTCTTTATTTATTTATTTATTTATTTATTTACAGACGGAAAACTCCATTTTCATACATACAATCATGGCAAGACGTTTCATTCAACTTACATAGAACAATTCATACATCACATCAAGATGACCTGACTAAAGAACCCTAATAAATAAGAATGTATCAAAATATATCAATATATATAACAATAAGATAACAAAAAATAACAATGAATAGCAATGAATAACAATAAATAACAATAAAAAACAATAAATAACAATAAATACAATAAATAACAACAATAATTAACAATCAACATGGGGAACAACAAATTTGGTAATTAGCTAACAAGATAAAAAATCAAAAAACAAGTAACAGTAAACAACAACTACAGAAACAAAAAAGAAGGTAACAGTACAATGATCAACAGCAGCTAAGCGAAGAAACTCTTCAGCCCATTTCTAAAGACTTCATCGGACATGGAGAAGAAGTCCAGGTGTTCTGGAAGACAGTTTCCAAGGCGATGGAGACGTGGCATAGTGCTGTGGTACGCATATTGTGTAGAGCAATATCTCCTCTCAAACAGTTGTTTTGATCTTGTCGATTTCAACGCTCGAAGGTCGATTCTTCCCAACAATTCAGGTGAGTCCACTGAAGCTGAGATTATCTTCCTCAGAAACATCAAATCGGAGATTCTACGCCTGACTGACAAGGGTTGAAGACGAAGGAGGTGGCTTAGCTCGTCCAAGGGTACATCTTCATAACGAAAGCCCAGCTGCAGTCCAACAATTCGAACGAATCGTCTTTGTATTCCCTCAAGATGTTCTATGTGGCCCAGCTGATACGGTGACCACACTGGAGAACAGTACTCAAGGATAAGTTGAACGTAAAGAGTCCTTAGTGCTTCTGGCGAAAAACCGTCCTTAGACACTCTAATAATAAAACCAAGAACAGAGTTTGCTCTCCTACTAATGGCATCAAGGTGAGCATCGGGACTTAGTGAAGATGTTAAAGTCACACCAAGGTCTTTAACAACAGATGATCTGGAAAGTGATTTTCCTCCAAGAGTATAACCATGCATCATGGTATTTGCCCGTCGTGAGAAGGAGAGCACCGTGCATTTGGAGATGTTAAGCTCCATTTCATTCTTGAGGCACCACAGTAATACTTGGTCAAGGTCGGCTTGAAGCATATCACAATCATACTCCGACGAAATTTCCTTGTATATTTTAGCGTCATCTGCAAAGAGTAATATTTTACAATTTGTGACTACTGAGACCAGGTCATTCACAAATATGGAAAACAGTACAGGACCCAATAACGAGCCCTGGGGGACTCCAGAAAGAACAGGAAACGCTGTGGATGTACATCCATTGTATCTGACAACCTGGTGACGATTACTGACATAGCTTCTGAACCAACTTAGCATGGCACCAGTAACACCCAAAACGCTGAGCTTAGCCAGTAGATGTTCATGACTCAATCTGTCAAAAGCCTTCGACATGTCCAGGTAAATGCTGTCTACTTGATGACTTCTGTTGAAGGCTGATATTATATCATCTTGATAGATAACCAGGTTGGATGCAGCTGATCTACCGCTATAGAAGCCATGCTGGGCTGTTGATAAGTGGTTCTTAATAAAAAAATTTAATCTAGTGAGAACCAGGGATTCAAAAACTTTGGCGAGCGATGATTGTATGGAGATTGGTCTGTAGTTTTTATGTCTGAAGAATTACCATTCTTGAAGATAGGTGTAACAAAACTTGTCTTTAGGCAGTGGGGAAAGATACCCAAGTGCAAAAACCAGTTGATGTATACTGTCAAGTGAGGGGCAAGAATCCAGCTACAGTACTTTAATATTAATGGTGGAATATCGTCAGGACCAGCTCCCTTATTACCATCTAAGGTGGAGAGAACCTTTTCGACTTCATTGCAAGAAACAGAAAATTCAGTTAAGGAACCAGAAGAACACTGATCTTCGAAGAAAGGATCTCTATCGAGGACGCGGTAATTTGAAAACTCCAGGTAGAAATACAAAATTCACACATAATTCCCGGTTCATAAAATTTCTGCATGATTCCCGGATTTCCCGGTCGGTGGACACCCTTATGTATATATTGCAAAGGGGCGCTACTATTAGTTGTGCCTAGGGCGCTAACAGGGTCAAAAACGGGCCTGATCAAGTAGTTTTTAGTGGTAACCTCTCTAAGCTTCCTGAGAAGGTCTCTCTTGATAACTTGACGCAAACCTTAATTGTCTGTGTGAATGTTCCAGCCTAACCTAGGGTCAATCCAGAATCCTAATAGCTTTACAGCCTCGTCCTGCTCTATCCTCGATCGCAGAGTGCAGATTAGGGATTGGGTTTTCGCCTCATTGATTTTGAAGCGGTTTGTTATAAACACACATCATGAGATAAACACAACTAAACATTTTAACAGTCCAGCAACAGCAGTTAACATGAGTTAACATGATAAATATTAAAATAAAGTAAAAATCAAGAGCAATTGATTCACAGCTGTGGCTAAGTTGACGCCACAGCCACTCAAAGCAGCCCCCCCCCCAGCCCCCCGTGGAGACTGGAAGTCCTTGAAGTCCAGGAAGCTTGAGTTTTGGTTTGACTTTTCGACTTGATCGAGCTGTTTGGGTAAAGGCCGGACCATAGTTCTAGGCACGATTACTAGAAAAATTTATGGATCATAAACATAAACAAATGACGTTTTTGGCCCGAAAATAAACATTATTTAACATTGGTTAAATGGAACTGCTAAAACATATGTTCAATGCTATTACTATAGGATTCGGGCCAACAACGTCATTTTGTTTATGTTTATGATCCATACTGGGTATTTTTCTAGTAATCGTTCTAGGTGTCTGGCTGACGCATATGCGTAATAACGAATTTGCAATTTAATCATATGTTAGCCCAAGTTTTGACAGATGGGGAATTAACACACAGCAAATTAATGCGCATGCGTCAGCCAGACGCCTAGAACTGTGGTCCAGCCTTTACCATTGACTATATAGCCTAGTCAATGGTTCTATATGGTAGTCTCATATAACTCATATATCCTCTGTGCATATAATCATACATACGAGAGGTCGTCCAGTGGTCGAAACTCGACCAAAAATATGTAATGTACTCACTTAACTATTTTCACCCCACACTGTAAATAAAACATGTGATTGGAGTTTCCTCCATTTGTTTTGATTTTCTGTTTATATTTCGTTGTTATTTCATAACCAGCATAGCAACGCATAAGATCCATGTTATTTTTTTACAACTTTTAAACTTATTTTTTGTGCTTATCTTTGAGCCTATTTAAATTTATAAAGGGATTCTGCACACCTACAGGAAAATAGCTTTCCAACGGTATGCGTAGATTTTCCCTACGATGCACACGAGCTGAGAAAAAAGGTTTTAAAGAAACATGCTTGCCTATTAATATATAGACGAGAGGTCGTCCAGTGGTCGAAACTCGACCAAAAATATGTAATGTACTCACTTATCTATTTTCACCCCACACTGTAAATAAAACATGTGATTGGAGTTTCTTCCATTTGTTTTGATTTTCTGTTTATATTTCGTTGTTATTTCGTAACCAGCATAGCAACGCATAAGATCCATGTTAATTTTTTTCAAAATTTTAAACTCATTTTTTGTGCTTATCTTTGAGCCTATTTAAATTTATAAAGGGATTCTGCACACCTACAGGAAAATAGCTTTCCAACGGTATGCGTAGATTTTCCCTACGATGCACACGAGCTGAGAAAAAAGGTTTTAAAGAAACATGCTTGCCTATTAATATATAGATAGATAGATAGATAGATAGATAACCACACCGGCATGCCTATTGCCATGGTATTAACATGAATAACAATACCCCCGCCGCAGCAAACCTAACTAAGCGAATTTCCATTTGACTGATTGGATTTACACTGAAATGTCTACTTAAAAATATTACATTTATTCTCGATTTAATTAGAATTAGTTTAACAAGTACTTAGGTTTGCTGTATCAGGGAGGGTAAAACTGTTTTTTTTTTTTTTTGTAAAATGTGAATAGTTAGTAAGAAATAAAAACATTTTCCAAATTTGATCAAAATATGTTCATAAACATGCAAACTACAACAGTTTACTTATTCTCCATAAGAATAACATGGAAATTTTAAATTTAAAACTTTTTGAAATTTTCTCCGTAACCATTAGGCGCATAATAACGCTTCAATATACTAAATTATTTGTTTTTTTAAGCTCTACAAAATGGTTTGGAAAGAAATTGCTAAATTTTATGTTTTTTGGGTCAAAAATGGGAAAAACCTATTTTTACCCCATAAACCCCCGTTCCTATGGTCCGATCATGCTGGATCGCGAACTCGTTCGAAAAAACGTACGTTTACACGTTTGTACCAAATTTCATCGAAATCGGATCATTTTTGCTCGAGTTATCGTGCTGACGGACATATATATATATATATATATGAATTTGAACGGATGGTGTTTTTGGCCTCTCTAGGGACCTCAAAACGAAAAAGAAAATCGGTCCCGCGTCCAGGTCTTACCATGAGTACTACGGTAATAGCTTATTCCCTATATGGGAAATTCGCTAAAACTTGTAAACGTAAACATTGTGCACACGTTCCATAAATAAGTGCAATAGCTGGGTAGCATCGCGCGGAGCATCACA